AATTTATTACCATGGGAACTTTTCCCTCCATTATTTATGCCACGACCTTTAGAAAAGAATGATCTCTGCCTCGTCCTCTATATAAAGTATTCAAGTTAGAAATATTATCATTCTTGGATTGCAAATTCGGAGTAGTAGTAGTAGTAGTTATGACTTGTGAATCAAATTGACATTCTTGTTGGATAATCATATTAAAGACTTTAGTAATATTGGGAAGAGGATCCATTAACATAACATGAGATAGTACAGAGGCATACTGATTATTGAGGCCTTTCAGAAATCGAATGACATAATCTTGCTGCTTGTAGGGTTGGACAGAATCAAGAGCATCACAAGAACAGTGCATTTAACAAAGGGACAAAAACTATCAATTTCTTCCCAAAGAGTACATAACTCTGTGTAAAAATCAGTTACAGAGAGAGTAACTTGGTGTAGTTTGTATAAATCTTCCTATAAATCTGCAATACGAAAAATATCTTCTTGATAAAAGTGATGGTACAAATCTTGCCAAACGTCAGAAACATATTTGATCCAGAGAATGAGTTTAAGAATGGTTTTATGCACTGATTGTTGGATCCAAAAAATAACCATTATGTTGCAACGATCTCATGGTTCGTGAAGATGGCTGGTTGCTGATGGTTCGAAGAGAGTGTCATTGACGAATTTCAACTTATTATTGGATTTGAGCGCAAGTTTCATGGTGCAGGGTCTAGACGTGATAATTCTTACCATCCAACAAGGTAGAGACAAGAACGAGAGTAGGATTTTTATTAGAAGAAAGAAAGAAGGGAATTGAGGGATTCATGTGAAAGTTAGTATAGGTTCATACGCCATAGAAATAGAAGAAGAAATCAAGAAATAACATCTACCATCTTACTGTTCATATACGTACGATGAAATCATCTATTTTTATTAAAATTTCATATTCTAAAAAGGAGTACAAGCAGTGTATATATAACCCCGTAGAACAAAAAGTAAAAAATCTATCATAACTCAAAATAGTAAAAAAGGGGAAAAATAGGATTTGTCATAGAAAAATAATTATGCTAATAATCCTTTCCAACTAATTCATTCTATTCATTTATAAATTTACAAGTAATAATGATATAACATATTTGACTGTTTTAACTTATGTTAAAATTCAAGTGTGAGTTAAAGTCCTCCATTATGTAAAAATGGTGAAATTGAATAATATATAAGTGAGAAAGATCCACATATATATTACCTTAAAGTTTAGGATTAAAAAGTTGTGTCATATTCTCTTATATGGTTATGTGATGTCCCATTCATGAATATTGGTCTGGTGTAGCCTCCCTTGGTTAAACTCAACAATGATGTTAACCCTCTTCATAAAAAATCTAATAGTGGTACCATAGTTTTGTTTGTCTAGTGATCAACTCAATTGAGTATGAAAAGTCAAAATATGAGTTAAAGTCTCACATTGGGTAGAAATTATGAAGTTGAATAACATATAAGTGAAAAAAATCCATGAATTTATTACATTAAGTTTTTAGATTGAAAGTGACGTCATATGTTTACCTAAGCTCCCTTGGTTAGACGTCATTATGTTTATTGCATTAATCTTTTTTTTTTTCAAATAAGTCTAAAAGGAGAAGGAAGGTTGGAATGTCATTAGGCGTTTATATTTTGAATTCACTTGAAAGTATGTTATCTATTTTGGGAACATCAGATGCCAAAGTCATTTAATGGGTAAGTCGTGAATACCTAAAACAAACTATTTATTGTACTTTATTTGCTTGTTGGGTTATGGATTGGTAATTTACAAAAGGTTTTCATTGTATCAACGTACTCTTGTGTGATTTTTGTTGAAACATATATACTCTTCGAAGACGGTAGTGTATAGGACGAACAAGTTCAAAAAAGATTACTCATTCATTAGATAAAAAAGATAAATCACTTTATAAAAACTCAACAAATTAATTGTTTGGTGAGAGATTTATTTTGAATTTAATCCACACATAATCTTTCTGTAATTTTATATATTATTACGAAAATAATTTAATTTTTCATATTTTGATTTTTAGTCTACTTATAATTCATGTTATGGCATTATTATGTATTGTAAAATTCCTTCAAGAAAACAACACTTTGGACATCAATTTTTTTTTAATTGATTGTGAATCATATAGAGATATTTAAAAAATTATGTGAGCACATTTAAACACTTGATTTCCTTATTATGTTTAACTAGTCATTTGATGATTCATATATAAATGTAAGTGAAATGAGTGGTTAGCATTCAGTGGGGTTTAGGCATGTTTCAAATAAAACTTTCTGAGGCCAAAAGGTTTAAAAACTGCAGTGTTACAAACTTTTTGTTTCCTTGCATAAAATGTTATTGTAATGCATGTGATGTATGCAAATGATTTACTAATTGATAAATCATTAGATTTTTCAAGTTATAAAATGATGCATAACTCACAGAGTAAGAACATGTATAAATGAGTGACTCTTTAATAATGTTCATGCCCAATAACTTTCGTAACACATATTCATTTATATTTCACTAGAATTTTGTAAAAATATTAGCAAGATGATTGTTTGTGGATACAAATCGTAAGTCTACGTTCTATTTTTTTTTTTTTTACATGATTTTTTATAAAATGATATTTAATCCCGATATGTTTTGATAAAAAATATTGGATAAAATTCATATATAGGATTATGACAATACTATTGTCACATAGAATAAGAATGTTTCCTATGTAGACCTTATAATTTTCAACATGGTTTTTATCTATAAAAATTGTGAGTAATAACTAACAACCAAAATGCATTCAGCTTTTACAGGGATAATATTATTATTCATTTTTCTTACTCGTCCATTCATTAAATTATTCCTTGGTTTTATAGTTGTTTCTTCTTATTTCTTTGAAATGATCTTTTATATAATAGTTACTTTATTTTCTATTCTCAAACTTATATAACCTACTCAAATCATCTTTCCTTTATTCTTGCCATCAAATGTTATTGTCCCTCCTCTCTTAGTGGTGGATCTTGATCATTGATCTTAGAGGACCAAATAATATATTATTAATAAATAATAAATAAATATAAAAAGAAGAAATTATATTAAATGATCATTAAGTTTGAGAGGAACAAAATCATAAATTATATAATATATTAAATAATCATTAAGTTTGAGGCGAACAAAATTATAAATTATATGAGAGTTACAAACCGAGGAGAGATCGAGAAGATAAAATTGTAAATATACAAGTAAATATATTAAATGTTTATTATGTTTGGAGGGACCAAAATCATAAATTACATGGGAGTTACAAAACTTTGGAAGGACCACGGTCCCTCAACTTCTCAAGAAGATCCGTCACTGTCTCCTCTCATATTTGTGAAAGTAATCTCATTACTTAAAATTATATAAAATTAAAAATCCAACTAAAAAAATAAAAATTTGAAATTTTTCGTACTTTATCCTTACTCAAATCTATATCTCTTATCATCATATCCTGCCTATCTTAATTAGTAGATCATTTACTCAATATTGGATAAAACACTATTAATTGACTGGTTAGAATGTATCGAATTAATATTATTTTTTCGATTGATGCCAACAAAGTTTCTTTTAGATAAAAATCACTCATGGTTAATTTTCAATCTCTATCACTAAGTTATTTATTTGATGCTTTAGATTAATGTTATTACTCAATTACCATTAGTTAATTTTTTTTTTCACTCACAATGTATTATTTTTCATTAATGGTAGGCGATGTTATTTTTTCAATCAATAGATAAAAACTTTGTAGCAAAATATGTAAATAACGATTTTTTTCAATCAAGATTGGTAGGGTTATTTGATCAATGTCAATTTTTTTTTGTCAATGTTTGACGAATATAAGTCTTAGCCATTAATGTATCAAGACTATTTCTAAGTTAATATTTATTAGGATTTTCACAATCAATTTCAATAAATATAACTAATTCTTGTTCGGTTGAAATTTCAATAGTGATTATTTTTTTTGACGTTATAATTTTTTTTAATGATGCAAGTAGTATCATTTGATGGTTGTATTTAGTGATAATTAAAATACTTTAATTACATAATAAAATTAAAATTTAAGCAAATTAAATTGTTTTATCTAAAAGATTTTTTTAAATTAAATAATTTAAAATAAAACTAATTAAATGTATTTAAATTTTCAAAAAATTATAAAATTTTCAATTCAAAAACCAAGATTAAGGTTAAATATATTTTTGTTTTAAAAATTTCCAACATTTTTTTACTTTAGTCCTTGAACAAACTTTTTTTTGTCCATGCAGTGTTTAAGTTATCTCTTTTAGTCCTCATTATTAAATAATCATTTTAAAAAATAACGTAAACACCGACTTACCATGTCATTGAAAAGTATCAGATACTCATGCATAAGTTAAGTTTTGTTTTTTTTTTTTTTGGTAATTTTTGTTTGAATTCTTAATAAACTAGTTTAAACTAATTAAAATCCCAGTTATTTTTTTTTAAAAGTCATTGTTCCATTAAATATATCATAATATAAAGAATCTTAAATAAATGAGACATTAAATCACCAAATTAAGAATCTACCCTAGAAAAAGCTAATTAAGAAGCCGTCAAATGACAATGACGCCAAACAGGAGGTGGCGTGTGCGTTGCCCTGGGATCAAAATCACATACAGTTTTTAAAAAAAAGTGCATGGATCTGGACCATTCTTCAAACTTATGTATGATATGAGAAGGAGAGAGAAACTTACATTAACGGTGAGATTTATATGCGCACTGACTGCAGTTCTCTATCAAACCATAGAAGATCAAATTTTCGTCACGTAGTGGGACAACCAAAAGATCCTCCAACGCGACAGGAGACACCGCTCATTTCAAAGTTCACAACGACTCACTCCGCGGACATTTCTTCTAGCCTAAATTTCCTTCACCAGCCTTCTTGTTTTCCTTCCTCCTGCCAGTTCTTTTTTTTTCTTTCTCTCTCTCTTGTCGTCCGGTTCAATCAATGGGTGCAGGGGTTAAGATCTGGAATCCCTTTGAAGTTGCAGAGCAAGCTCGCCACGACTATGCCTCGCAGATTCATCCCTCGAATCTTACCATCGACCCTTCGCTCGAGCTTCCGCAAATGACACCTCTCGTCCTGTTCGTGATTCTCATCTTTATTCTTTTCTTTTCATTAAAAATAAAGAATAAAATGATTTTTTTAATTTATTTTTTCGGCGCGCTTCTCATTTGAACTTTCTTGGTTTCGTCGTTTCTGGTGTCTGGTTGCTTGGGAAAGGTGGGAAAATGGGACAGGTTTTACTGGGAAGCCGTATTAATTGGGGTTTGGCTATTCTAGATTAATTTGGAAACGTTCAATTTCTTTGGATTTGGAGTGGTGTGCGTGCGTGCGTGTGTGATGCGTAATCTATTATATGTCTTTCGATATTGAGCCGTCGATTTTTTTGTTTTGTTTATGCGATTAAATGTTGCTTTCTCATTTTCAGCTCTATTCCTAAAATTGCATCATTTCCTGTTTTTATTTTTTTATTCTTTTTGTTTCTTGCAGAAAGCTGTGCAAGGATATGTTCAAGGCGTGGGAAAATTTGGCTGATTCTTGCTTTGTTGTTGAGAAAATTTCCGGGGGAATTACAAATTTGTGTTAGTTTTTCTTGTTACTCTTGTTCTTCTTTTTTAGAATAAAGAATGAAATTAATTTTTATCTCAAGATTGATTTTCATATGCTGAATGGCTATGTCTGGTGAACGGTTTACTTGCCAAATCCAGAGAAGTAGTCAGCTAAACCCTCATCTGGTTGCTTAAATACTTTGGCTTATCCGTAGTCTTGTGTTGTTGTTTATGTGGTTGATGCATTTGTTATTGTCTGTCAGTACTCAAGGTTTCAGTTAAACCAGAAAATTGTTTTGAGGAAATTATCACCATCAGATTGTATGGACCCAACACTGAGTACATTATAGATCGTCGGCGGGAATTGCAGGTTAGACACTGTACTGCATGATTACGTACAAAACTAGCCATTTCACTGAATGCTTTTGCATTCTGAGTAAATATTGTAGTCATCTAGTGTTGATGTAGCTTGGTCTTTATTTTGTTGTTATTTTTACAAATGTTTTTATTTTGAAAGTTACATCGTAACTGAACTTTACATATGCTTGTGTGTAAATTAGTCCAGTCTAGGTCGAGTTGTAAGTAATCCAATTGAGGCCGAGGTAAAAACACTTTTGTCAAGGCCGAGCTAAAGATCCATTGTCGAGATTGAGTTGTAAATATCCTTGCAAGGGCTGAATTGAAGATACTCTCGTCAAGGTCAAGTTAAAATTACTTTGAAAAAATAAATAAATAAATATATATATATATATATATATATATATATATATATATATATATTGTAAATGTTGAGAAAAACAACTTTTGATATAGACATAATTGTAGGCTGGAACCCCTTAAGCCTTTGCTCGTTCCCTTACTAGGTAGGCTTAAAAAACCCACATTAGGTGGGCTAAAAAATGGGCCATTATAGTGAGCTAGCCCTTGGACACGGCTAAAATGACACCTCTAACTGTAAGTTATACGTCAGCTTTCAATTTGAGCCTTACTAATCTTCAATTAAGATAAACTACCTTTGGTTCAGTAATTCATTTCTATATTTTCTTTATATTTTTTTCTTCTCTTTTTGAGGCAGCATAAGAAAATAGTTAAAAAGTCTTATCTTATGATAATTTTTGGTTCCTATATTAGATATATTGCATGGTTTCTTACTTTTTGGAAAATGTCTTTCAATATAAATATATAATTTGTCAAATAAGTACTATAGATTTCATTGTTATTTATTCTACTATATGCTTGAGATAAGGCTGGCTAAATTAAAAATAAAAAATAATAATTGTAAGGATTAAGAAGGGATATGCAAACTACAACTTCCAACAATATTGAAATCCACAGATGATGTGCTGCAAAATTTCATTCATTAATCCATAAAAGAAAAGAAAGAGAAACCATGTTGTACTTGTACATATACTATTCATTTATATCCCTGCTTAGATGTGCACAGAGGATCTCGGTTGTAGATTGTGATAAGAGAAGGATATGAATTCAAATGGTGCATAACATTGTAGGTTATAATTGTTAAGTTAGTTGCTTATCTGTATTTACCCAATGGTTTACTTGAAGTTTGGTGTAAAATTTGGTGTTTAGGCTACCAAATTCATCACAGCTGCAGGATTTGGTGCTCAGTGGCTTGGCATATTTGGGAATGGCATGGTGCAATCTTTTATTAATGCGAAAACTCTATCACCTTCAGGTACAAATGGGAAAAATTCATTTTAGAACCCGAGTGACAATGTCAGGTTGATAAATTCTAATAGTTAAATCATATTTTTGGGTGTTATTAATAATATTTATTAGAAACTTAGCATATCTAAGCAATGAATCTGTTCCTAGTATTGCATTTATGAAAGTTTCCTTGTTGGGTGAATGTATCATTTTAGGGAATTATGTTTCAAAAAAGTTCTTGTTATTGTTTAAAATTTAACTTAATTTGGATTAGAATTACTTTTACCTTTGTGGTTTATAAAATTATAGTCCTATAGTAAATTCCTTAAGGTATGAATTTCAACTTACACTGGATTGGGAATACTAGGCTTCACCTAATGACCACCTGAGTTTAAATGTTTGTAATCGCCTAACCCAACCTAAGACTTAATGCTTACTGTTAATCATGAGGAGGCTCTAAGCTGAAGTTCTCATTGTTACTCATTACATAACAATTTGTTATTTATCCCAACTTTTTATCAGATGTGGTGCAATTCATACATACGAATTCAGTCATTTATAATACCTATGTGTGTGTATATATATTATTTGAAATGTGTTAAACTTGTATTATTTGGATTTTGGAGTAAAAGGTTAGATATAATTTTGCTTTTGTTTCATTATTTGTTATTATGATTTGTTTTCTCCGTGGCAGATATGCGGGAGCCAAAGCTGGCTGCTAAAATAGCTAAGCAACTTAAAAGATTTCATTCTGTGGAAATTCCAGGCTCAAAGGAACCTCAATTATGGAATGATGTTTGGAAGTTCTTTGAGCAAGGTCTGTTATCTTTTCTTCCTTCTAGTGATATCCGATACTTCTGTAAGTTTGTTTGAAGTCAATTTGATTTCTTGACTTGTATTTTTCGCTGCAAATGTTAGATTTTGTTAGCAGGAGGCTTCGAACCCATGATTTGTCCTTTCTTCCCTTTCATTTTAACTGCCAAGCCAACCTTATATCAATATCCCCATTTTTGGGTCTATATTGTATTACGTAGAAGCCCCTTATGATTTTCATTCTGGATTCTTAGTCCTGTGTTTGATGTTCTGCTTCAACATATTAAAACTATCATCAAGCTAGATTAAGCTCATGCAATATGCTTTTGTCTAAGGCTGGTGTATGTACTTGCTTGGAGAGTTGTATTATTAGTATTTGAGTTACCACTTTTTCTTCCAGCATCTGTTCTTGAATATGATGATAGTGAAATGCAGAAGACTTATAAAACGATTTCATTCAAGGAAATTCATGATGAAATTGTTGAGCTCAAGGTAATTTCTCTTTCCATACGTTTCTTAGCTGTTATATTTGTATTTATCTTCGATTGTAATGCAGGGGTCAAAATGAATGTAAATTATCACCATCTTTTGGAAGTCCAACCCTAATCACTAGATTTGAAAGTTAAGTTTATATTTTTAGTGGTGACTTACCACGTTTTTGCTGTTAATATCCAAACACTTTTTCTAAATATTTATTTGGACAGGCCAACAAAAAAAGTGCCCTACTGTCCAGGCATAGTCTTTTTCATCCATTTGTGCTTGTGAAGATAACTAACAAATTTGTGAAATTATTTTATTGAAAAGTTGATATTAGGGATAGTGATTGATTCATTTTATGTTAACAATTTCTTATCTTGACAATTTTTATATTTCTACATCTTGTAACAGGGATTGTGTGATCTACTCAAATCTCCTGTAATTTTTGCTCACAATGACTTGCTTTCTGGAAATATAATGATTAATTATGAAGAAGGTATCTAAATACCTTGTTTGTATGCATATTTGTGCTTCCAGTCTGTTAATGTAGATTTTATTTATTTATTTACTATAGAATGACTGCAGTTTCTTTAGCCATTTTGACTACGTACATGTCATTCTATGGACAAGAGTTGGGAGTTCTATTATATATATGTGTGTGTGTGTGCATGTGTATGTGTTCATGGTATAGTTATAAGCCAACCATTACTACAATTTATTTCTTAGTAGGAAACATTAGCAAGTGAAAAAATAATGGTGTTGCATTGCTTTTCAAAGAAAAGTTAATTTTAATTGTTCTGGAGTTAAATTAAAACCGAAGAAATGAAGTTTACCAGATTAGTTTTGAACCAAAACTTAATGTGTTTTTCTTTTCTTTCTTTTAACAAGTAGGGAGTTTTTTAATTTTTTATTTTGTTAAAGGTATAAATTTGTTTGTTAACATGTGAACCTATTCATTTGAAATGTGAATCTATTCATTCTTTCAGTTTATAACAAAGACATGTCTCTGGAATTCACAAATATTATAACGTTCACATGTGAATGTTTAGATAACCAATTTATTTATTAATTCATGAGGTTTCATCTTCCTTTTTTTTTTTGACAACCCTCCAGATAAACTTTACTTCATTGATTATGAATATGCATCATACAACTACAGAGGCTATGATATAGGAAACCACTTCGCAGAATATGCTGGCTTTGATTGTGACTTCGATTTGTGAGTTCCTTATGCTTGCTTCTCTCTTTAATCATGATTTTCTGTTAGTTACTTCTGTTCATCATTTTTATAATGCAGATACCCAAATATAAATGAACAACATCATTTCCTCAGGCATTACATACAACCTGAGAGACCCCATGAGGTACCAATCACAGTGAATTAAATATTTCCTATTGTATTTTATTTCATTGTCTCCTGATTCTAAATCAACTGTAAAATAAGATGCACACACATAATCTATCAATATGCAATGATAATCTTATTCAGTCTAACATGTTGGCGACATATGTCAGCTATCCCGTTTAGGATTTGAAGACAATTTCATTGGTGCTTGACATGTTATAATGGGTCATAATGGAATTTTCTTTTATGGTCTTCATGTTACGTGAATTTTGTAGAAGGAAATGTTCTTATTTTAATTTTTTTTAATGTTTTTGGTGGGGGAAATGGCAATGAAATTGGCCTATACTTCCTTATACTTGCTGTACAGCAATGAAAATTGCTTGATTTGTATTGGTGATGGTTGCACTTTCCAATGTATATTCTTGTTTTCCATTAGCCTTTGGTAACTTCAACACTCTAGCCCTTTGGTGCATCAACTATATTAGGCTGCTTTGATTGATATTTCCTGTTACTGGTTTGCCAAGGATGATGGTTGTGACATAGAACTGCCTGAATATTTTCCAGAAATCCCCACTTTTGTCCTACGCTTGAATTTTATTCAAATTTGTTGCCTTTATGGTTTACTGTTAGATTGATGTTTCCTGTTGCTGGTTTGCCAAGGCCGATGTTTGTAACATAAAACTGCCTGAATATCTTCCAGAAATCCCCAGTTTTGTCCTATCCTTGAAGTTTAATCAAATTTGACTTGAAATAGCCTTATCTCAGTATGCCTTGTTGCATGTATATTACTTACTAATATTGTACTTAGAATACAGTTGCATTTTAGGGTACATAAGTTATTGGAACATGTCCTATAATGGGTATATCCTGTTTTTGTTTAAGATCATCATTTACTTAATATAACAGGTGTGTGAGAAAGATCTTGAAACATTCTATGTTGAGGCAAATACATTTTCCCTTGCCTCTCACATTTTCTGGGCATTGTGGGGTCTAATTCAGGTAATATATTTCCTCTTTTATTCAACCTATGCTTTATTATTCGAATGACGTCCTTGACGGTTGATATTGCTTCTAATGATAAACAGGCAAAGATGTCCCCAATTGAATTTGATTATCTTGGTTACTTTTTCCGTCGATACAAGGAGTACAAAAGACAGAAAGAGAAGAATTTCTTGCTTGCACGGAGCTACATTTCAGGATGCAAGAATGAGTAGATGGATAGATTTTACTCAATCACTCGTTAGTTTTTGTATTTCAAGTTTGTAGCACGAGTCCCCGATTCATGTAGTTTTGTGTTTGTGTAACATCATTTTAGATGCTTATACGAATAATGGCCTGATTAAGCATTTTGTTTGTGCAAGAGGCTCTTCTACGTTTTTTGTTGTAATCCTACATGTTATATAAATCAATATATCATTCTTTTTCTCGTATTTGGGATTATAAATTTTGGTATCTGTTATCTCTTCCGTTTCTCGTTTATTTGCAGTTGATGTACTAGAAGGGGAAGATTAATAATGGAATCTCAAAAATATGGAAGGGTGATTTTTTATAAGAGCACAGTTCATTAAATTTAGTTGGCAATGGAAATGAATAAATTAGTTTTATTCCTTGTATGATCACAGTTAAATAAATGGTTCTCCATTTTATTTGTGTTATACGAGATCAACTCATGTTCAATCTTGAGTCATGGATTCAAGAACATATGAACAATACAAGAACATAAAGTGTTAAAAAAAAAATAAAAGATGAAAACAAGTTCTCAATTTCACTAAACAATTCAATTCTTTGGAAACGTAAAACAATAACTAAAGGTAATATTCAAATTCAAATGAAAAATCATGAAGACCCACGAATGAGGTGCACTTCAAATATAGGCATATACAAGTGATTTCATGCTTCTATTCCTTGGTCGTGTGAGGTGAGGAACATGTGAGATTATGTTTTCTTTTCTCTCCAAGGTACACACACATGCTTCTCATACATCTTTAGGCATGCTTCATGTCCATGCTTGCCCAAAAATCCTATGACCCATTTACAAGTCTTAATTTACAATTACAATTATAAAAAAATACAATAAAAAGAACTAAACAACTTGTAATTTCTACCAGTATATGAAATACAAAAAACAAAAGTTCATTTTATGAGCAAATAAGTTCTCACTTTTTGCTATGTTTCTTGTAATCCTTCTAAAACCTTCTGGCTCCTTTTTTTTCCTTGTGCATTCAACCACTTATAAGTCGAGACTTGAGAAGTAGGGCATGTTTTCTCTAAATTCTCATAGATTTAACTTTCATCAATCATTTGTTTTGATAGTTGTTTATTTATTTTTCTCTATTACTGTTGTTTAGGGAGAAAAAATGAAAGAAAAATGAAAATAAATGAATAATCAGGGGAATGATTTAAAAAGTTGTTTGATTGTGTAAAAATAGAACATATGTTAACTTCATTTGCATATGGGCGACTCTTATTATTTACTTTCTTTTTCTCTTGTTTTTCTTACACAGAGGTAACTACGATAATAAATATATCATTTTTTTAAATAATAATTTCAATAAATGCATTATTTTAGAGAAATAAAAAAATAATCATTAATGAGGAAAAATTTATAAATAAACATTAATGGTTTTAATGGGAACTCATTTGTTCGTTTGGAGCCTTTAAAAAAAACAATTAAAATTGGATTGATTACGAGATTGAAACAATATTTTTTAAAACACTATTTCGACCAAGTGGTTAATATTTATTGAAAACTACAAAATTATAATTAATTTATTAATTGATAGATTAATCAAATAAGAAATGAGTTCTTTGTTTGGTTGGAAGTTATGCCCTCCAGTATTAATTTTGATATATTTTTTTTTAATGTTATTCTTTTATGGTACATGATTGATAGTCTTAGTATCAGTGTATGTTATTGGGACGTTAGAGGTCTATAATGATGTCTAACATCGATTTTGTTTTTTTTTAATACATAAAGAAGTGCGACTCAAAACGTTGTGTTGTTTAATACATTCAAATTCTCTTTTATAATTTCAATTTTTCATTTTAAAATGTAACGATTATATTATATTAAAGTAGATAATACAGGTATTAGAACACAGTCCAAATAAACATAAAATTGATAAATTCTTCATATATTATTTTATTAGTTTAAATTTTAAAAGATGTTTCATGTATACAAAAACTTCTCTAAATAAAAGGGAATTTATATTTTGAGTAATATTGTGTAAGTGAATCATGTCTCTATGATACATTTTGGGACTGTTAAAAAAATGTTATTAAACGTCCATGAGCGTAAATTATATTTATAAGAAATCAAATGTAAAATTAATTAGTTTATTAGAGATAAAAAAAGTTGTTTAAACCTAAAATAACTTGGATAATTCAATAAAGAGCCTGTTGCATTGTATATAGTACAAGACAATGAAATCTTAGGTGTAAGGAATAAAGAAAAAGGAAGTGAATTAAATGTACCATCTTGAGTGTGGTATTTAGTTTTTTCGTTAATTATATTAACATGGTATTATGCAAAACATATACTTAAAGGCCAAAACACAATAATTTTTTTTCATGTAAGCTTTTTAAAATGAAAAAGTATAATATATTGTATACGGATTTATTTTAATAATATAGTTATAATCAATTATCCCTCGCTTTAACATTTTAATCTATCGTGATTGTTTTTGTTGTTCCTAAAATAAAAAGATCAAAGTTTTGATTGATTGCTTTATTTTTTCACGTGAAATTTGAGTTCCAATTAAGCTTTATGCTTCTTCTTTCAGTTCAACATTAAAATTGTGCTTGTTATTTCAGTTCCAAACTCTCTCGAGTCTTAACTAATTTAAAAACAGATTCTAGACTTTTTGTTTTATTTTTTTTCCAACCGTTGAATGTGAATACAAATTGCTTCTAGGTTTTGATCTTCGTATAGGTTATTCAATTATGGCATTGGTATTCACACTTTACATGAGATTTGATATCATATCAATATCATTATAATAAGGACAACCCCATTTCTTTCCAACCGTACTCATACGTGTGATGTATCTCCATGACAGAATGAATTGTTAATTGCTGCTAGAATGGAAGCATAGCAACAGTGGAAACACACACTGAAACAATTGAAGATTGCGTACGTGAAGAGAAGAGTGGAATCAACGTTGATAAGTTAGTTTTCCATGACCCTTATAGTACAATGATTGAAATCTGCATATTCTACCATTGCAATATCCAAAAACCAACAGCATCAGATTCAACAAGTGATGTCAATGGAGCAGAAGACACAGTAACTCACCCTATATCCTGTGTTAGAAACCTCTTATTTAGCTTGGTACTTGAGGTCCTCCATAGCAATAATTCCATCAAACAGGTCAAACATGATAAGAACACGAAATTAAAAGCAGAAAATAGCCATAATACAAAGGCTTTTCAAGCTTAACCATGTACTATTATTCTGTTTTCATACCAAATTAAACTTGCAATAATTTTAAAGTTTCAGTGTACTGTCTCATACAGCAGATGAGGCATTCTTTTAACAGATAAATTATCATAAGAAGGCAAGCTGTCCAAGCTTATTTTTGGAAATAAAGTGTAATCAAAACATAATAATATCATGACAGTAATCTGGCATCTCTCTATCTTAGTAACTAAATATACTTGGAGGAGAAAAAGAGAATAAGGGAACCTACTTTAAAGTATTTACCTACCATGAGTTCTGGGCTGCATATGAATGAACACGTTTACTAATCTACACTATATAGTATAGTGAGTTCTATCCCATAACCTAGGTCGAACGTTCCTCCTCAGCATAAAAGATTTGTTCCATTAGAATCTCATGTGGAAAGAAATGCTTAGAGTTTTGTAATGGAAAATTTGAAACCGAACTGATTCTGCAGAAAATGGGTTGATGTTTTATTGAGAACCAAGGGAATAAAATGAATGGCAAGGGATGTTGTGATTAAAACAGTACAGCTCCAAAGAAAGTGATCCTTTTGAATTTTATTTTAATGAACCTCAAGTTTGGAGTAGAAATTTAGGAAGATTGAAATGGTGGGGGAGAGGAAACGGGGGATATCATCAAAATTTTAAACTAAGGAAAACAGAATCAACATAAAATTCTGAAGGTGACCTTAACAACATGGCACCACCTGCATAAAATGTACAAGAACATGAAGTGAGTATCTTATCATAATTGAGAAATTTGGCCCCTTTGAAGAAACTTGCAAGCAAGAGTCATGTGAGAAAAAGGGAAAAGGAGAATATATGTTCTCTCATTTCCGATTTTCCCTTCATGCCTCGGCCAAAATTGAAAAACTATACTTCAAGCCACCAATATCTAATGACAAGAAGTTTGAAGGCTTTGATTTGATAGAGGCAAAAAAATATGGAAAATTGAAGAACTAGGAGCTCCCTTCAGTCCAAAACTGCAGGAGATTGTGCCTGGAGGGTTTGGGCTGCAAGGAACTCCCATTTCTGCAGCTTTCAAAACTCCAATACATGTGACGAAAAAGAGAATGTAAAGAGGTTAATTTATACAAACTCCTCTTCCTTACCTTTGATTCAATTAATAATGGTCTAAAGAATTCTGTTCAGTTCAATTCAATTTCTGCATCTACCATAAAATAAAAATTATGTAAAAGAAAATTAAGTGTACGCATTTATAACTGAAGTTACCGTTACAACTTACAAACCACTAAAAACAAAGTGCCTCCTTTTTGACAATTTGTGCTTTCATTGTTCCTCAAGTGGAGATTTTAGCCGCGTAAGCAGTGCCTAGCCACCATAGGTGTAGCTGGAAAATGGTACATGACTCAGTTCATAGTAACTCCCTCTAACTACAAAAGTAGAACATAAATGCTTGGTGGCAGCACTTGCATTTCATAGATATGGTATGCATGAGAGAAAATGCTAAAGGATAAATACCAAGTTTCAAAACCCAAAATATCTTAAATCTTGTGATTAACTCTAATATCACTCTCTAAGTCTTATTCTAGTATGCTCAAAAGTTTATATTACTAAGAGTTGAGGTTGACAGTAATTTGTAAACATTCCTATGAGGAGTTATTTTTTAAATATAAAATTATAATAGAATGGAGTCTGAAATCTGAAGCAGATAATACTTCTTCATGTACACCATGATGATGTCAATCATACAAGTGATGTTCAGAAAAACTATCCTATGGAGTCATAGAACAAGAATTAACAACATTCTCATAAAGGAATATAAATCACAGCACTCGTTAGTGTCAGTTCCCTTTTCCATTTCCACTTAGAGGCATTGAGTTCCTATGAGGTTGTGCTTTTCCAACTATTCCTACTTGGTGGTCCCGTCTCAGCCTCTGAGAAATTTGCTGCATATATATATATATATATATATATATATATATATACTCTGAACAAGGATTCTGAAAATCTCTTTAATTTGATGAAAGTTAATGTTTTGCTTTGTGTCCCATCAAGGAGTTGAGATGGGATTGCATTCCTACCATGATTCCTACCATGATTCCTTATATAACCATGTGACAGGAACTGCATTGCATTTCCAACAAAACTTTTGTGCCCCTCCTATTTTCCTCCTTCCATTTCAAATGTCTTTGATTCCCCTACGCTCTTTCAATTTTTGCCACTGTATGCTTCAGTGGGTAATTTATCTGTAGCAAACTCCTGAAAGCTCCCCTACTCTTTTCTTCTGTCATTCCACGATGCACTCAGTGTCTTAGGCTTTCATGCAACCTTTTTAGATTGTTTCATGGCTTAACTTGTTTGATTAAACTACACTCATTTGGTAAACATTTTACTAGCATTTTATGAGAAGGTACTCCACGTAAAGCTTAAAGTCATAAACTCATATTTTTTTTAGGTAAATTATATTTTTCATGTAATATTAATTTGTTTAGTATTGTTTGATTTTTTATTTAATTTTATGTCAGGTGAACCATTAATTTCTTTTATAATTGTTTATTTAAACACAACCAGAGATACTGTAAAACATTTATATGCAGTTAATCTAAAAACTACAGAATTACTTCAAAGATAGGAAAATCCCAACGGCCTCTTTAAATCTTCACAGGGTGGTGATTTGATTCTGCCTACTTTGAAATAGCTTATAGGGTTAACTTTTGAAGGTCTCTCTCTTGTGCATAGGTTCATAGGCAATAAGAAGAGGAAAAAATTGCAGATAAAAAACACGTAAGAAAATAAACATTACTTGTATGCAGAAAACAATGACGTGCCTACTAAGTTTGGAAAATTGGAACTAGGGAACGAAAATGACAACAATCCAACAAGTCTTATTGTTAGAATTTGAAATTCAGAAGTAGAAAAATAAATAAAGAGGAATATTTTTACGGGGATGGATATTTTAGCCCAACGTGGGATTCTCTTCTAATTCCTTAATTCAATATATATATATATATATATATATATATATATATATATATATATATATATATATATATATATATATATATTATGAAATGTTGTTCGAACTGCAAATAATATATTTTTATCAAGTTGGCAATGAAGTGAAATCTTTTTTACAATAATAAAGAGAACAAAACACACATAATGTAGTGAATAAGAATATATAATATAAATATTGAGAGATTAAATTGAAGTATATAAGATATTCTTATATAAACTTTGATGATTTTGTATTTTTTATTAATTTACTATATTTATTTTTATAATATTGTAATGAATTTTTCATTTTAATAATCCTAAATAATTAATTATTAAAATTTGTTTTAATAAAATTTTAAATATTAGTAAATTTTGTAATTTTCATCGTCTTTTGGTTAATGATTAGGTTTATTTTGATTAAATATTAGATTTATTAAATTCGATAATTGAATCTTTCTCATATTTAATAACTAATATGTTTTTTTAATATTAATTTATTATTTTTATACTGGTTTATTCAATTTACACTATAATCTACTTCTCTTTTAACAAACTATTTAACTAATTATAATTAATATTTTTTAATATCACTATTAACAATCCTTTAAATTTCTCTAAGTTAAAAAAGTGAGTGTAGGAGATACTCTTGCACAGTAAGTTCACAAAGTCACTCGTAATACAATAAGTCCACAATGTTATTCTTAGCACAACAAATATACATGACCAGGTACATTAGTATTTTTTTATTATTAAGATATTCTTATTTCTTTGAGTTCATAAAGTCCTAGTCGAATTTTGGTAAAGATTACAACTAAAACAGTTTCTTATATATTAGAAAATAAAATCCATCAGGTGAAAGATTTACAAATGTAAGTTCTCTCCTAACTTTAAGAAACAAAAGTCCTTGTTCTCAAAAGATAATTCATTGAGTTTATTCATATAGAATACTTTGTTTATGTTTTGGAAGGTTATATTTCTACGTATAATATCTTGACCATTAATCTTTATAAGATTAAATAATATATTATTAGTAAATAACAAATGAATATAAAAAGATTAAAAAAATATATAAAAAGATGAGAGGTCAAATTTGTAAATATACAAGGAGTTGACTTTATTCTTTTTAGAGTGTAAGACAACTTTCACCAAGAATGTCTTTTAGTAGTTATGTTTTAATATATTTTATTCTTATTCTTATCAAAAGATTACAATAATAAATGACTTGACAAAGTTTGTCTAAACAACTGTCTCTCTCCAATCAATTACATTGAGTTATATTGAAAGGATGAAAAAAAGATGAAGGTCCACCTACAAAGATACGCCGAAGCTTAAGTCAGTAGAAAAATAAAGATAATAGAAAAGTCTTTGAATGAGAATGAGATGATTTGTAGAGAGTAAAGTTGTCTTATTTGTAGGAAAATAAAGATGGTAGAAAAGTCTTTCAACAAAAATGAAATTATTTATAGAGTAGAGTTGTCTTATTTGGAGGAGAATAAATATAATAGAGAAGTCTCTCGACGAGGATTAGATGATTTATGAGATGATTTATCCGTTTTTGGAACTCTAGTCTATTACAATTTATCCTTAAAATGTGCTTCAGTGGATTAAGAAAAGAGTGTATATATAACTTACATTTGGTGTCAATTCTAAAATAATGTGAGACTCATACTAGAATAATTCTTAATATACTCTGTTGAAAGTCTCACATCGCCTACCTCATGTCATTTGGTATAGTTTAAATACATGTTAGGCTACTCCACATATTGCCAATTGGTTTTATGTTGAAACCTTAACATGGTATCAGAGCCAAAGCCTAACATTTTTCTGGTTATTGTCATGAGCCAAAAGTTGTCTTTTAGTTGGGTCAAAAGTACCCTTTGTCTGGTCCGGCAGACTTCGTTAGAGGGGGTGTGTTGAAAGTCTCACATCGCCTACCTCATGTCATTTGGTATGGTTTAAATACATGTTAGGCTACTCCACATATTGCTAATTGGTTTTATGTTGGAACCTTAACATACTCCAATAAGAAAAGTTGAG